GGTCGTTCATAAAATGCCTTGCTGTACTGTTGTAAGTGATCTTAATGATTCCTAAATGCATCTACTTTCGGAAGGCCAAATATAGTGCTTTTGCTTTCGCCTAGAAACACACAGGGTCTCCCTGACATGGCTGCTTCAACCCTAACTGCGGTTACTGAAACCACGCCTTCTTTCTTTGCGTGCACATTTGGGCGGCATTATGCAAATATTTCCACATGGTGAGGTAGATATGTGGGGGCGTGTTAGAACGAGCCGTTTTAGGGGGGCGTGGCAGAGTCTTAACTTTGATAAAGAATATCTCTTTGGTTTTGAGACTTTAGTTTTTGCAACTTCAGGGATCTTATCTATGCACAATCAGCTTGTAACACTCCAAAGAGAAAGGAAAACTTGAAATCGCATCATATGACCCCTTTAAAAGTTTTGAGAAACGTGTCTTTGTTTCGAGAACTGTATGAATGGTTTGGAAAACTGGGCCAAATGAATCCGTTATAGTGTGTTAGCAATCGAGAAAAACTGTAATACATTTTAATGGCCTTTTCAATATTCTGCCTGTCCATTCCATTGTTATCTTTTAATTCCACTGTTTTTTTTTCATTGCATAAAGTCATTTTAACCACTCTGTGACCCTTTCACAGTCATCGTTTTGTCACAGAGAGTGAGTGAATAAGATGAGTGTTTGGACCACTATAAGAGAGCATGAAAGCAGTTAGAAGTCCTCCCTTCCACTCTTTATGTCGTCACATAAGATGTCTATTTTGCAGAGGATGATGGGAGTATGGGAGAGCAGGCGCCTGATGTTGGAGCCTCTGGCCCAAAGCCCAGCTTCAGCAGGCTGGGAGCACTGGCCGGCACCATCTGCAGACGGACGTTTGAGAAGACAGCTGCACAACTCCAGCGCTCCAAACGTCAAGGTCAGGGACTGGTCACACAGATCCCTGGCGTGAGTCCCCTGGTAAGTAGCAAACAGCATTCAAGTGTTAGTTTGTCCTTCCAAGAACAAAATGTGGCTTCAGCGTTGAGCACATGTTCTTTTTTGAAGTGTTAGGTTATGTAATTATGTTCAACTCTTCATAGAGCCCACATCAAATTAAGGCCCATCTGTGTTGTACGTCTCCTTCATTTTGGAAACCGCCGTTGCGCATACCTCTCGCTCAATTAGTACACCAAATTACTATGATTCCACACCCTGCCAAGCCAGCAGACCCAAACAGAGAGCCCAACTCAGCACATGAGCCAACACATGCATTCACCTTTTTGCCATGCTGTAGCAATGTTGTCAAACTGCCAGTTATAAACACTGTTGTAAGGACTGATCAAGCCAGGGATTTTCAAACTGGGGTCCGAAGACCCCAAGTGCAACACAAGGGGAGGCTAGGGAGTCTGCAAAAAGAGTTAAGAGAAAATAAAAAATAAAAAATCACAAAAAATATCAGAAATTATACTGACAAATAAGAAGCATGTCAACCTCTATAACAGTACAAAGCACATAGTTGACATAATGATGAGCACTGTTCAAATAGTGGCTACTGGCTGAAAGGCCATGTGACTAGTGTAATAAAACACTGCCAACAGTTAAGTTTAAACTGAGATTGTAAAGAAAATGGTCTGTACAAAAGTCAAAGAGTCAGTGTCATGCTGCTATTGTCTTTCCTATGTTGCTAAATTAGTCTCTGATGTGCCATTAATATTTTGCAACAATTACCATTTACTCCCTGATGTCTGGTTCATCCTGCCTAATAAATACCAACTTCTAGTGAGTTTTTCTATATCAGTGTGTTCACCATGTTGGCGTTTATAAGGACAAGTTACTGCTGTATTTTTCAATTCATATCCAACACCAATAGCCATTTTTGCACTGTAGAAATGTTGGTGTTTGTTGGGTCACTGTGAATGAGCCTTTAAAATGTTTCTGGGTCTAGAGGGAAATTTGAGTGACGTCCTAGATTATGATCTGTGGAAATTATATCTGGGACATATTCTTATTATGCAGCCTTTTCTGCTCAGTTTGCTCAGATATGAAAGATTTTATGGTAACAGTTTAAACAATGTCTGTGTTGTCTACAGTACTGTTCAAATGTTTGGGGTCAGTCAGAAAGTCTTATGCTGATTTAGTGCACAAGAAACATTATTATTATCAATGTTTGTACTGTTGGTAGTACTGCTTAATAATATTTGTGGAAACCGTGATTTTTTTTTTTAGGATTATTTTAAAAATAGAATTCAAAAGAACAAAATTTATTTGAAATAAAAAAATACTGTTACTTTTGATAAATTTAAATGTGTCCTTGCTAAAAAATAATGTATCAGATTCTTTAAAAAAGTGTGTGTGTGTGTATATATATATATATATATATATATATACTGTATATACAGGTGGAGCTGGGGAAGGTGTAGGGTTTTTGAAGCACACTGCAACTGCTACAGCAAGCACTAGTCATATATTTGAATGTTGAGCAGCGAGCTCATTGGCTACCCATACAAGAGAGAACCAATCAGCTGTAACATGGGATAATGATGTCATTATAATGTCAGATTGAGTTAGACCTATCGGACTGCGCCATCTAGAGTTTCATGCCAGAACTTTGTATATATATTGCATGCACAAAACGTATCGCCTGTACAAAAACAAAATTAAAACAGTAAATATAAAATTTGTAAAAGTTGATTTTGTCTTTTGTAAGGTTGAATATACCATGAGGACTGTGGAGACCATAGGAAGTGTAATACTGGGTCTGCCGAGCTCTTTGGCACTGTTTCTGAAAGATGCGCAACAGCACAATTCTCTGAAGGAGATGACCAGTAATGAGTTTGAGCAGCTAGAGGTTAGTGAGATTTTTTTTAGCATCACTAAATCTGGTAATTTAAGACAGATGTAAATAATTACCACTTATATCAGCTCAAACTATTGGCCTTTTAGGTTTCACTTTAGTTCTTAAAAATTTAACTTGAAAACTCTATTTATGTCCCTTAAATAAATAAAAAAAACACTTAAAAAAATTTGTTTATTTATAATTATTTGTGTTCACTGAAAGTTCACTGAAAAGTGTGAGTGAAAAAGTTTCACTGCCATTTTTCGATGCAGTAATACCATTATATGGTATTATACCATTATACCATTATAGTCAGGGCCGTTTCTAGGCATAGGCGAGCTAGGCGGTCGCCTAGGGCGCCACCAGCTGAAGGGGCGCCAATGAGCGCACGTACTGGCACTTTTAGAAGGGTTGTGATAAAGAGTGGCATGGTCACCCTGAAATATGACTGCCGCCCCCACTGGATCCCCCAACATTATTGGGCTAGAGTACTGTCAATCTGACGATGCCTGTATGCCACTAGATCAGAGTGCTGTCAATTGCTGCCTGATTGTTGCATGCAAAGTTTGCGGATTTCGCCTAGGGCGTCAAATTGTCTAGAAACGACCCTGATTATAGTAATACCATTATATAACATTCATACCTCCCATTAAACTTATACAATTTTTTTGTTTTGTGATGTACTTTTAGAAATTTCCCAATTTGATCTACTGTATGAGTTTGTTTGAGTGTACAGTACGATATACTGTTGAATCTTAAGGTGTGGTCCAAGTTTCCTCTGTTCTTCGAAAGTTTACTGGCAAAATTGTGTTCAAGTTGTTGACTCAAATTCGCTGTGTTGACCAAAAGAAAGCTGATTTGTGTGAATGTGTCTTCTGTGTGAACTGTGCTTCATACATCACTACACTATTCACAATAGACAATAGACCTTTTTTGCCTGTGAAATTTGCTTAAATATTACATAAATGTGAGATTTAAGCAATATTATGCAACACTTGTTGCTAGCGGTCCTGGCCAGAAACCATTCTGTAAGTACACAGACCTCCATAAAAGCATAAAAAAAATGTTGGATTGTTTGTTTGTTTAATCTTCCTAATACACTCATATGAAGATGCTTGTACACATATAGTGTATTTTCTCTTGCAGAGTAAGGGGCTGCCGAGGCTGGTCAGTGGATTAGGGCAGAAATTATTGAAGGTCTATGGGTCTGTGGTGGCTTATGTAAAGAAACCCCATCAAACCAGCTTCAACCTGGCTAAGGATGGAGTCAGCATTGCCCTGCGGTCCTATGGCACAGTCAGGGAGAGAGCACTGCACAACCTTTCTTATTATGGGCTGGTGAGTGAATCAGTCATCCTCAGGTTTGATTTGATTTGGCCCCTCACGTGCTTTGTACTGTCTGGAATCTAGTTCACGTGGACTCTTCACATGTGCATAGACCCCCTTCAACACAAACAAACACACACACCTCAAACTCATCACCCGCCCCTGCTGTGATCACACACCCAGCTCTGCATGTCAAGGGATATTTCCATTATAGATTCTGTCTAGACTGAGAGTAACATTGAATTGTTGAAATAAATTATGACCTTTCTTCACAACTGTGTTAGAGCATCTTGCAGTTTTTCTCAATCTCTTTGGCTTAATTCTTGAGTGAGAGTTTTTTCTCAAAACAATACGTTCTAAACAATTAGTTTCTTGTTCACATCAGATTTGATTTCTTGTTGATTTAAGCCAATTGCATGTGTTTTGACAAATTGGCACGTGTGCAAAAAAGAGTAAGTACAATTTTCTACAATTTGCACAATAACTAAATTCACATGGCTTGCTGATCAAAACTGATAAGTTGATTCTCAGTGAAATTGTCAAACTCTTCAAAACTTCTAAACATTCTTTCATCGTGTGAGTCATCACATGCAAAATGATCCATTCATTTATCAAAACCTGTCAGACGTGTATGTTCCATAAATGTCTGACATGGAATGTTTGTAATGTCTGCTAAGGAGGCAGATAGCTTGCCATTAGGGTTTCAAAGGCATGGAAAATTTTTTTTTTTTTTTTGGGGGGGAAAATATAGCAAATTTTCATAGTCTTTTGGATTTTTGGAAATTTACCAGAAATTTCTCACCATTTTGTAACCGTACTTGCTATTGTAATGAAATAGGAATCACAATTTTGCTGTATAAATAAATTTATATTTATACAGTACATTTATATGTAGAAATGTGTTACTTGTAAATTGAAAATTTACAGTTGCTCGTCATGGAAGAGCAGTAAGAAGATAAGTAAGAATGTGTGGTGTAGGGATTCCACAACTCTTCAATATAATATTGAACTTTGTGTATTGCTTTTTTTTTTTTTTCGGTTTTGCATCTTTTGCAGTATCTGTTACATGAACCCTGCGTTTTTACTCCACAACATCATTCAGATGTTTGAAATAACTTCCTTTTGTGATCTGATGTGGCTTCTTATCACAGAATGAGGCAAAAAATATGTATAGTATAGAAAGCAGTCTGTCAACAAAAAAATTTAAAATATAACTAATATGAAATGAAATTGCATATAACAAAATGAAATTTGCATATACAGTAACAAAATTAAATTAAATTAAATAGAATTTGCATATAACAAAACATTTATAAACGAAACATTTTGACTAGTGTGGCTCACACAGTGGCAAACACTTTATTTTGGTGGCATTGGCTAAGTTACTGACACAATAACTAGGTTTTGAAGCATAAATTAAATGTTTTGCATGAGTTACTACATTTTGCAGACATGCAATAGAGTTCTAGTAGAGAACATTTAACTTAAGAGAATTTAAGAGAAGTTTAGCAAACTTTTTAAAAGTACTTACTACAGAAATAATACTAATATATATATATATATATATATATATATGTGTGTGTGTATTTTGAAGTATATTACAAGTGCACATTCAATACACTTAAAATGATAAAATGTACAGTACGTTGCTCAGTGTTATCATTGTTTATTGAGACTGTTTTATAAAAGCAATATAATTGTTTATATATATATATTAAAAAGGTAAGTAAAAAGAAAGGAAATATTTGTTTTAGATGAACAATTTATAAATGCTTTTGTTATCTGATTTGCTTTTGAGGAATACGTCAGGCCTAGGCTCTTTGCAAAAAAAAAAA